GCGGTTAGCGACAGTGACCCAGCCGCCGGCGGTCGGCAGCCGTCTTCAAGGACTTTCTCGACGAACGATCGTTAGCGGGCCGGACGATCGAATTCTCGTCGATCGATGAACACCGGGATTCGCGAGGCTAGACTATTTGGGAGTTGTCCTCGATCTCGCCGGTAGGAGCGTACGGATACGTCACTCCTCCTCGCCCGAGGACACCGCCCGGTCGATTCGCGCTTGAAAGGTGGCGCGCGCGAGCCTGTTTACTTTGAAATTCTCCGGGAACTCGCGACGAATTCGAAGACCGGAGGAGAAACCGCCGGAAGTCGGTTGACACTGCGCGCGAGCGCAGTTGTCGTCTCGACGAAGTTCGAGTCTCGCGTTTCGCCAGCCCCGACTTTCGCGGGACACTTGCGACCGCCGTGCGTGCGTCTCCGATATCGCAAACGCTCGGGTTTGACTCCCCGAGGACATCGCGAGAGCCGTTTTAAGGGCTATCAGGATTCATGCGCGCGGATGAACGCGCCTTCGTTAAAAAGATGACTTTGCTCATTGAGAACTGAAGATATACAATATCAACTTGGTGGGCACATGAAGTGTATGGATTATGGAATGACAAAATGACGCATAAGAGGTAGGGAAACAGTCATTTTTTAAGAGGTTAGAAGTAATTAAAAAGGCATGTTTTTAAAGAAGTTATGAGTATTTAAAAAAGCATTTCTTGCCACGATTCGGCGAAAACCAGAGCAGATTATTTTAACATTCAGACAGCAATCGCTTCCTAAATCTTTGCTTTATCAATTGAACTTTCGAAAGAAGGAGACAGATTTTTTCGGAAGTAGTAACGAAAGAAGCAATTTTGGAATTTTGGTGCTTTTATTGATTTTGCAGTAACGGAAAAAAATATTGTTCAGCGGTTTCTCGTGAATCTCAGTCTGTAGACACTTTCGATACGTATATTAAGAAAAAGAATTCAACCTTCAACCCAAAACATCAGGATCAATCTGTATCAATCCCCGTATATAAGTAGTAATATGCATTCATTCAGATAATTTAACTAATTTAATAAAATTAGTTCACATACGCGTACATATATAGGCGCGTGCTCGCATAAATAATCAATGACGAATAACAAATAATGCAAATAACAAATAATTACATTTATGAGGACAGCATATAATGCAAATAACGAATAATATGAACAGACATATGAATAACGAATGATATGAATAACAGATAATGCGAATGATAATTAATAAATAGCACGAATAATGAATAAAATTTCACGTCTAAATGACGCGCTAAGTAAAAATGCATTCGAATGACGTCCAATTCTGCCTGGCGGCTGGCAGCCTGGTGGAGCAACAAATAAAAATCGACGGTGAACTTGGATCTTCGACAAAATCGCGGACGTTACTCCTCCGAGTGAATCGAATTTCGCTCGCGAGAATTCTCGGCTCAGCCGGAATTCTCCCAGAGCCGTTCATCGATCCACGGGGGAAACGGGATTCGACGGCCGTACGTGTTCGCACTTTCGCGGTCGTGGGAACGCAGTTTTGACAGGTTCGCCGGACGATTGGGGCAGGTCACGATCCGTCCAAATTATTCCTCGCGACCTCTCTCTTTCTCTCTTTCTCTCGGCTGGTAAACAGCAACAGTGCGACCAGCCCTTGGGGAGATCGGTTAACAGCGGCCTTTACAACTCACTTTACAAGACATCGAGAGATCCTCCGCCCCCGTGGACCGTCGTAAAAGACACATCGGTCCTCGCTCGTGCATTACATCGTGTTACGCGAACGGCCGCGCGAAGTTACCCCGACGGTCGGGAAATGTAGTCACGTTGAGTTACTACTGCGGACCTCGACCTCCGGCTGGGTTTTATGTTTCGTCAAAGTATCGTCGACTCGAAGTTGCCGTTGTTGTCCGCCGTATTCACAGCATATTCCCCACGTATCAACGGAATCGCCCGTCGTATTATTTGTCGCGCCCGCGTCCTTTTTCACGGAGGCAAACATCGGATAACTCGGGAGGAAGTTTATTGTTCGGCGAAGCGAAAGGGAGCATTGTATGTATTAAATAATGGCGCGGGGCTGCCGCGCGGAAAACATTTCATAATGCACTTCCGCGTAAACGCCGATGGCATTGGCAACGGTACGAGGGAGGAGAGAGAGAGAGAGAGAGAGGAGTGTGCAAAAAGGAACAGGAACTTGGCAGCGTTTGATAGTGCTCTTTGGCACGCGAGCTCGGTATGCGACTTACAATGATGCGCAGGCAGCTCGAGAGGATTTAGATATAAGTATGTCGGATTCTCATTTCAATGCGTGTCTCGTATCCTTACAAGACTCGTCTTTGCAAGACTCGCGGTAAAACCCGAGTGGAAACCTTTCGTCCTGCACGGATAGAAATTATAGTCATTTTTGGTCTCAATTGTACTATTCTTTTAGTTTCGACCGCAAAAATAGAAGCATGCAAGGTTGTTATTACTGACAGTGTGGCAGCTTTTATTCGAAAAATCCCCAGTAGAAAGGGAAATTGAACCTCGCGGGGGAGGGGAGGGGGGTTCAGCTGCGAGATGATAAATTTGTATCTAACATCGCTGTTGTACTGAAAAGAGGATTTGGTAATAAGTACTGCAATTTAGTGAATGTTTGCCGACCAAATATTTGATTACCGTAACCAAATATAATTCAGTCCCGTGTACTAAATACACGGAATTACAGTACTGCAGATGAAACTAAATTGTTTGCAGTAATCCAATATTTGGCCGGCAAATGTTCACCAAATCTTAATATCATTACCAAATCCTTCTATCATTGCAGTAACGTAATGCTCACTTCTCTTAGCGGCAAGATAATGGCTGAACGAATAAGTTAACGGGTTAAACAAAAGAAATTGCATTACAAGACGAAAAATGACAACTAGTCGCCAGGTAGTAATGTGTAATGTTCACTTCTGCTTTTTTAAAGTTTTAGAATAACGTACCCTAATTTTGATTTACCACCTCATTTTTTAATTTAACAACTATATCTGTTTGCTTGCACAGGTCATAAGAGTGTCAAATTAAGATTAAGAGCGTCAAAGCAGCATCCGAATTTCGACTCGGGAGAGAGTCACAATGAAAGTGCGGAAGGCACGGAGGGAAAAGCTCTATTTTCGACGAATTTAATACCGATAAAGTTGATTGACACGCTCGTGCTCGCGTTTATCTCGATATTAATTTCTCGTCTTAATTCATTTTCATGCTGCACATGTCGCGCGAGATATCAGGCGGGTTGCCCTGCTATTTCCGCGATTTAATCTTTCCCGTTATTATGTCCAACTGCGGAACAATATTGTGGGTTTTATCCCGCTTTATCGGGCAGATATTGTATTCTGCATGCGCGTATTTACACAATTGTAATTAATATCGAGCATCATCCTGTCCATTGATCGTATCGGTCAACTGCGCCCCGAACGGCCAATTAGGTGAATTAATTACGTTTCTGCGATCGCGCCGGCACAGCTTTCCAACGGCGAACGGCGAGCGATTCTTGGCGACGTGTATCCGAACATCGGCCGCGGCCGATCGGCGTGCTCGCTTCGTTTTGCCTCGATAAGCAAAAAACTCCCCGATGAATAACGACACGCGCTTTTTAACGTCGAATGCGTAAGATTTATTTGTCTCTCGAAATAAAAGTGTCACGGTTCTCTCCGCGGCACAAAAACGCCCCATAAATCGACTTCCGCGATCTGTTCGCCGACGTATATTAAATTCGCCCGGTCGGCAACGCCGGAGATCAACCCGCGGATGTTGTGGATGTAGCACGTATCGTAAATACACTCCACGGTTTATTCCCACACGGTCAATTTATTAGGAACGCAGGGGTCATTAAAAAAACAAAGAGGAGATAAAAAGGAGCGCGTAAAATCAGTACCCAAGTAGGAAATAACTGATGTCGAGCTGTACCGGCTGAGAGTACCGATTTTTAGTGAACAATATATTATGATGAGATGCCATCGAATACCGATTTAATAGTGATGTAATACTGGTGGGATGACAGCAATGGGCCAAGATTCGAAAGATAGTACTGCAACTGTATCGATTTCCGGTATTGGAAAAGTACCAAGAATTTTCAATTTCCAATACTAGGAGAGAGTTGCCTAATTCATATCAGACTTATTTACACATCACTATTTATGTTATTATATTATTCACACATCACTTGAATCATACCGCATCATTTTTTCCTATAATGTAGTTTCCTATAATATAATTATTGAATATAAGCGCGATTTCAGGGTAAATCTGTAAAATAAATGAGCAATAAATAACAGAATCAAAATTGAAACGGCATCTTTAGGATATCTTTAAGTCGTCTTACGTCTTAAAGATGTTTTGAAGACTTTTTCAAGACGTTTTAAAGACGTATTATATCCCGACTTTTTACATTGTGCTGTCTGGGGTTACATTGGGTTTTCCATGTGATGTAAACGTCTTAAAAATGTCTTAAGTCGATCTTAGGTATCTTAGTTACTCCCTGGGATCGAACTCAGGTCTTGCTATTCTTAAATGACATTAAGACGTCACAAAAATATGTTTTCGATGATAAGTTGATCTGGAGGACGTCTTTTAAACGTACGTGTTGCCGTCAGGTAATCACTTTTACTTCACTGAACTATTTAGGCTTCTACTTAGTGACATTTCTCCGTTTTTCTCTTTAAAGCATTGGTATTTTGACGTGAAATCCGTATTTCAATATTGAAGTGATTCCTCGCCAGTCCCCGGTAGTAGCCAAATGTATACGATTCCTACATCGATGATAAGTCTCCGCGAGGTTTCTGCGATTTATTTCGCGTCTCGAATTCTTCCTCTGCTACGATAATTTTCGTCATTACATTGGCGAGCGAAATGGCGAACGGGGCTCGATATTCAAAGATCTCTTTGATAAAAAATTCCCTCAAAATTGCCCGTTTGACCAATCAGAGAGCTGCCGCGATATGATTACCCGATTCAATTCGCTTTTTCGCTGTTTCAGATGATGCCGAAGAGATCGACCGGGTTGCTGTTCAGGTGGCTGCTGTTGGCAGGACTTTTGTGCTGCTCGTCCTGCCAGAGCGCACTGTCGTCCTTTGAGAATAAAACCGGTAAGCTTCTACTCATCCCGCCGGTCCCTATCGCCCTGCCACGTGACGTAACTGCTCCAACGTGTCCCGCGGAATATTTTCCACCGAGTGAATTAGGGTTCGAAGAGATAGAGGTACCGCACGTGTCTAATGTGGTGGCGTCGCCCGTCTTTCACGTCATTACTTTTGCAGAGTTTCGTGAAAAATTCACTCGCGCGAACTCGCTCCTCGATAAAAGATTTACCGTCTCTCTCGTTCCGGGCAGGAATGGGAATGCGAGGTAGCAAGTCACGAGGACACCCATCGCATTACCTCCACGCGATCTTTTAATAAAATAAACCGAGTTTTCTCAAATTTCATATCCAAGAAAGGAGGGAGCTTTAAAGAGAGATTAAGGAGAGATTTTCAGGAACCTGTTTTCGCGAAAGAGAGGTCAGGAGGCATTTACAAAAGAGGATAACGAGGTCTTGTCAGAATGACGTTAATTTATTAAGTCGCTCGCCGTCTGCGTCGTGACTCCTCAGTCGACAGACTTCACAAAATCGATTGTCAGAATTGATCTTTCACCTTTATTTACCACTTTCATGCGTATCCGTATCCACTGTATTTCTCCTATTGGCCACATTACATCTGTATCGCAATTATAATCCATATTATAATAACGTTTGTGCTGTACTTATCGTTTTTTTTCTAATTTCTCAATTATGCCGTCGTAGTTCTGAATATCATACATTTTTCTTTCAAACTATCCTCAGAAGAGCGTCTCCAAAATAGCATCAGAATTCCGAGCCGGGCGGTCCCGGGCATTTTTCGCAGTGCCGAACTTATCTATCGGATCTGGATTCACGTACGACCGCGTACGAGAGCCGGCGAGCAGCTCTGCGGGTACTTCGATCGTCGTATTGCGGGCGAGGAAACTGCGGGAAAAAGATTCGGGCTGGCACGTCGAAGAGAGCGCGACTTTGCGTCGCGACGCGACGCCGCGTCCCCGGCGTCCCGGTGGGAATACGATTTTCCCACTTTTTGAACCGGAAATTGGATCTCGCGCCGACGGCTCAGCGAGGTGGCGATTCGCCGTGAACCGGTTAATTGAAGACACATTATCGTGTCCGGGTCGAGTGGTCGCGCATCCGCCGAAAAAGGAACGTCGATAGATCGATTTGTCGGAGAACGCTCTCCGGAAAAACCGTTCGAGCGTCATAAATGCTCCCGATTCTTCGATATCCGATTCAGCGACAGTGACCGCTCCCACTCCCATCCTTATCCGCTTCCGACGCAATGCGGTAGAACAACGTGCGACAAAGATCGACGGGCGTAAGATCAAACTGCCGTCAACATTTTACTCGACCTGTTTTGTCGGGATTTGACCGGTCTCGTCGATTTATCCGTCGCTTCATCCATTTGCACGTTTGCAAGGAGTTTACTTCCTATATGAATATATAGGAGAAAGTCAATGCACATATTGGGGGGGGGGAGAGAGAGAGAGAGAGAGAGAGACGTCTATTACGTCGCAGTGGGATCTCATTTGACAGGCAAACGAGACGCGAGCCGAGCGCGCAACCGCTTCGACTCTCGCTTCCAAATTAGCTGCCGAATACCACCTAATAATCTTAGCGTCAATCTTGATTAAAATTAGTCGCGCGTCACGCGCGTGCACATGTGCATGCGTCCTGCGTGCGTATCAGTGGGACAGGTCAGTGGGTCACTCTACTCGGTGCTAAAAGACACTCGCGCGTCGATGAGCACACGAGTGCGCGCCCGTACGCGCGTCCGATCGACGGAATTGTGAGGTGAAGTGAATTTGATAAGAATTCGATTATATTCGTGTACTTACGCGTACACGAAGTATCATCTAACTGCTCGTGCGATTAAAACTTGAACCGTCCGGGAGCGGAGGTATTCGCAACTAAAATCGACACTTTTCAAGTTTCTCGAGCGTGCTATTCTTAGTTTCTATTTGTAATATCTTCCAAACTACAAAACAAGATCTGGATGGAAAAATGTTGCGGTATGAAATGACTAATATGCAGGCATTATACGCAAATGTTTAGGATGCTTGACCGTTTTGAACGCGCAGCGATGTGAAATTTATAATTTATAATAATACTCGAAATACACATGTATATACGAACGGAAAGACTCCTGTAAGAGGCTTCTGCTCGGTCAATTGTTTCCAGTTGTCCCAATCGAAATTTAATGCAGCTGAATGTTTGCACGAGTGTTCTCAGTCGCGGTAACAGAGATATTTACTTCTTGTCATCGAGTTTTCGTTTTTCGTCACCGAGTTTTCGCCCGGTCCTTATTCTGTCGCAGGAATTGAGTTCTTCCTTTCCGTGTAAAAGAAAATTAATTTACAGGCCAATTATTTTAATTCGAAAGTGCCCACATCACGGGCGTGAGGATCGGCTGGTCGAGGAGTTTTCACCTGAAAATGCAACATTTGCTTTACGAGCAGGTAAAATTTTAATAGCGTTATAAGCGGATATCGATTAATTCGCAAGTGTCCGCGCATCAGAAGTGGTGCGTGAAGATCGACGAGTTTTCACATGAAAACGTGGCATTTGCGAGTTTTTACGAGCAAATAAAACGTTCCTTTTTAATAGCGTTGTAAGCGGATAACCGAGTTCCGTAAGTTGCATGATGCAAAAAGTCCAATTAAAACTCCGAAATGCGATTAACGCGTTAAATCAAAACGCGGCAGCAAAAGTACTTGCAGATCCTTTGCAGGAGGGTGCACAATTTTTTTTTGTTAAAAGACCGGTAAATTCAAGTCTGTCGATTTACAGAACAACCTAAAGCTAACTTTTCTTGCGCGGTTCAGTGACAAGGATTAGAGCTTGACACAAGACCCAAAGTGATTGAAAGAGCTGAAAACTGAAATTGTAAAATATTATTGTCGAATAAATCACTTGCCGCTGAGTCGTTAATTTTCACAAGAAGGAAGCTCGACAAAACCTGAGCACAACGAAAAAGCAAACGGCATTAATAATACGACCGAGCGTGCATAGAGACGGAAACTGCCGCTTCAGTTCCAACTATTGTATACACAGTAAGCGAAATTCACGTACTGTCCGACATGATTAATATTTTACAGCCGGAAAACACACAGGCACGCCGGTTTACCATATCTATATTAGTTTTAGCATTTATTTTTTTTTTCTTATATCTCGCGAATTATTTTCGCCTCGATGTTTTCCCTGGAGAAAAATCAACTGTAAATTGCTCTCGGTACAATTAAAGTCGCAAGGTCTCAGACATCCTATACATTAGCCACTTACAAATTCCTTTTAAAGTGTAATACCAGAGACTGCTTTGAGACGGGACGAGTCGCGACGATACTTAGGTATTTCATTCGGGAATTGATCGTTCGTCCGAGGGCGTGGCGGGCGGACAATCGAATTGTCGCGCGGACCGTCCTCGTGGAAAAACATCGTCGTCTGTTCGTCGCGCTCATCGTCCGCAGGAGCGAAAGGGGGGCGCCTGTAAATAACATAAATTACAATTTTTAATTCGCGACACGTCGGAATAACGCGTCGGGAAAACGGCGTCCTAGGCGGATTTCTCGCCTCGCCTCGTACCCGCCTCATACCCCCCTCCCCCCGCGTCCTCCACCGAGCGTTGTTCCACTTTCAAACGACGCCTGACACAAAAGTGCGAGAAAATAAGCGCGTCGTGCTTTTATCGCGCGCGCTCACAATGGCCAACTTTGCATTTAACATTCCCCCTTAACCTTTTGCACTCCCCCGGTCGCCGTCATCGTCGAATGCTGCTGCGAAACGGCCTCTGTTTCGCGCACGCTCGTTGACCCGCGGCAAAATCCGCGAGAACATGATTAATCCCTCGACTGCGCTTTTTCCTTCCCCCGCCGGCAGCTGGACAAATGCGGCGCCCATTGTTCGCGTCCCGAGTTCGCTTCCGTATAATTGACGCCGGTCGTTTTCCCCCCCCCTCCTCTCTCTCTCACTCTTCCTCGTGTGTTCCAAGATTTCCCCGCGAAATCCCCCGGGAATTTCTTCCGGATCCGCGGAGATATCGGGGAAAATCTCGGAATAGGGGAGAAACGCGGAGAATCACGTCGGCCGCGCGCGCGCTCGAACTTAATCAGCCAGCCAAGACGGAAAATTCAACCCCCCCACTCCCTATCGAGCAGCGCTAATTGCGAGCTTGAAAAATGGAAATAATCGGTAACTGCTTGACGCTCGGCGACCGCTCGTTGCGATTCATCTCATTCAGCATTCATTCAACACTGATAAAACGGCCGTCCGGCGGTCACCGCCTCTCTCCTCCCTCATCAATATATAAATACAAGCGAAAAATCATGGCGATTTTCCGGACGGACGTTCTCGCAATTTTTGCTGAAAGTCCCGACCATTGGTCGCGGGTAATGTGCCGCGGTCGACGAGTCCGATGTATATCACTCGGGCGCAATTGCGGCGGGCGCAGCGTTGTCGATTCCTAATAGGGTGTAACGTATGGCACGCGCTTGCGCCCGCTGCGGGCGGCCGGGGAAATTAAAAGGGAGAAGATACGGCCGCGCATTTTGTACGCTCGATTTCATTCGGCATTGTACCACTTCCCAGCGCGGCCGCAGGAATATGTGTCGCATAAGCGTAATACGAACAAACGAGCGGGAAAATAATCCCACACGCGCGCGCGCGCCCGCGACGTAAATGCACGTACACAGGCGAAAGTATAATGACGCTTTTGGTGGCTTTATGCATTCGTGCCGGCTCTCTCGCTATGCTCTCGCTTCTCACGCTTTGTTCGAACTGCCACGAGAGATTCTGCCGCTCCTCTTTTTCTCTCTCTCTCTCTCTCTCTTCTTCCTTTCTGTTGCTTTTCCACGCTGCGCCTGGACGTCGCGAGATTACGCGCAATTACGTGCAGAAGCGTCGCGGGAACAGTCGAACGTACACTCTCTACGTGCTCGCGTCTTGAATCCGCGATTTCCAACGAGATGAGCCGAGTCGGAATTTTGAGCTTCTGTATTAAAGCTTTGATTCCGCGACACAGCAGGGTAA